CACCATCGAGCTCAAGGCCCTGCGGCTCCTCAACTTCCAGCGCCAGGTGAGCGCCGGCAACGCCCGGATCCCTGGGAGCACCGGGATCCCTGGGAGCGCCGGGAGTGCTGGGAGTGCTGGGAGTGTCGGGATCCCTGGGAGTGCTGGGATTCCTGGGAGTGCTGGGATCCCTGAGAGCACTGGGATCCCTGGGAGCACTGGGAATGCCGGGATCCCTGGGAATGCCGGGATCCCTGGGAGTGCCGGGATCCCTGGGAGTTCCAGGAGCGCTGGGAGTGTCAGGATCCCTGGGAGTGCTGGGAGCGCTGGCAGTGCCGGGATCCCTGGGAGTGCCGGGAGCACTGGGATCCCTGGGAACACTGAGATCCCTGGGAGTGCCGGGATCCCTGGGAGTGCCGGGAGCGCTGGGATCCCTGGGAGTGCTGGGATCCCTGGGAGTGCTGGGATCCCTGGGAGCGCCGGGATCCCTGGGAATGCCAGGATCCCTGGGAGTGTTGGGATCCCTGGGAGTGCCGGGATCCCTGGGAGCGCTGGGTGTGCCAGGATCCCTGGGAGTGCTGGGAGCACTGGGATCCCTGGGAGCGCCGGGATCCCTGGGAGTGCCGGGATCCCTGGGAGTGTCGGGATTCCTGGGAGTGCTGAGATTCCTGGGAGTGCTGAGATTCCTGGGAGTGCTGGGAGCACTGGGAGTGTCGGGATCCCTGGGAACACCGGGATCCCTGGGAGTGCCGGGATCCCTGGGAGTGTCGGGATCCCTGGGAGTGCTGGGATCCCTGGGAGTGTTGGGAATGCCGGAATCCCTGGGAGCGCCGGGATCCCTGGGAGTGCCGGGATCCCTGGAAGTTCAGGATCCCTGGGAGTGCCGGGATCCCTGGGAATGCTGGGATCCCTGGGAGTGCTGGGATCCCTGGGAGCGCCGGGATCCCTGGGAGCACTGGGAGTGCCGGGATCCCTGGGAGCGCCGGGATCCCTGGGAGCGCCGGGAGTGCTGGGATCCCTGGGAGTGCCGGGATCCCTGGGAGTGTCAGGATCCCTGGGAGTGCCGGGATCCCTGGGAGCGCCGGGATCCCTGGGAGCGCCGGGAGTGCCGGGATCCCTGGGAGCGCCGGGATCCCTGGGAGCGCCGGGAGCACCAGGAACATCCCCCGGGGCTGATCCGGCGCCGTTTTGCCGGGCTGCAGCTGCGGCANGTACAGGGACTCCAGGGATTCCAGGGATTCCAGGGATCCCCTGCCCCAGGAGTACAGGGATTCCAGGGATTCCAGGGATCCCCTGCCCCAGGAGTTCAGGGATTCCAGGGATCCCCTGCCCCAGGAGTACAGGGACTCCAGGGATTCCTTGCCCCGGGAGCCGTGGTTGGGGAAAAGTGGGACATTCCCGGGGCTGCTCCCGGAGTCTGGGCCCTCCGTGGGTCACCGGTGCCCCCATCCCGTTTTCCCTGTTCCTGAGATCCAGGGGGATGAGCGGGGGTTCGTTTTCCTGGGAGATTCCTCCCGGCCACGCTCCGGCCCCTCCGTGTCCGGGTGTCCCCAAATCCCATCCCGCCATTCCCGGGGGGACTTCTGGCGGCTTCCTGACGGGAGCCGGGGCGGGAGCGGAGCCGAAACTCATCCCAAAAAATACTCATCCCGAAAAACCCCCCGTCAGGCTCCAGGCCCGGATCGCCCACCGCATCCAGGAGCTGGAGAACCTGCCCGGCTCCTTGGCCGGGGACCTGCGCACCAAGGCCACCATCGAGCTCAAGGCCCTGCGGCTCCTCAACTTCCAGCGCCAGGTGAGCGCCGGCAACGCCCGGATCCCTGGGAGCACCGGGATCCCTGGGAACGCCCGGATCCCTGGGAACGCCCGGATCCCTGGGAA